CAATTCCAAGCCCATACACATCTTCAATCCTCCTCAGTTGCTGTGGAGCTGGGACGGCTGCAGACACGGAGAAGACGACAGAGCTGCTGTCCTCCAACCTCGCCATCTTCTCTCTGAACAGTGGCAGAAACCCGCGGGTTGTGATGGCCATGCAGATTCTCCAGGACCTGCTCTTTAGGTGTGTGAATGCATCTGACAGTGGTTTACATTGTTTGTTGGTCATTATGGCACTTCAAACACCTTTTATCTCTTCGTTTTCTAGTAGTTTTATTGTTTATCTTACTTACCCTTTGTGTGTACTGGGTTCTCAGGTACCGGGGCCAGATCGGAGCACATCTGATCCTTGGAGGAGTCGACTGTGCAGGCAGCCATCTCTATACTGTTGGGCCCTATGGAGACATGGACAAAGTACCATACCTGGCAATGGGTAAATGATGAAGTCAGTAAATGTGCATCTGCTGTCAGATGTGCCTTTTCAGGGGCCAGGCCAGAGGCAAGCCCATATCTAAAAATTTTTTGGGAGGGGTGGGGGGTCACCTTGATGTATTTCTCTAATCTGGGGGGGGGAGTTATTCCATGATAGTCTAATGCAGACTACCCTGCATTAGACAAGCGAGTATAAAAAAATGAATGAATATCAGAATATCCAAAGTCTTTTGAAGACTTTTGAAGACTTTTTACATCTTGTTGTCTGGTTGTAGGGTCTGGTGATCTTCCTGCAATGGGGATACTGGAGGATGGTTTCAGAGCTAATATGGAGGTATGATCACATTCATGTATCTGTCCATCTTCCAACTGCTTATCCTGGTTAGGGTCACATGGGCACAACGATAGGGTACACCTGGGATGGGGTGCCAGTGCATTACAGGGCACAATGATGGGGTACACCTGGAATGGGATGCCAGTGCATTACAGGGCACAATGATGGAGTACACCTGGTATGGGATGCCAGTGCATTACAGGGCACACACACACAATGGGCAATTTCAAAATGCCAGTTAGCTTAACTGCACATCTTTGGACTATGGGAAGAAATTCATGTAGGAAGAATACGATAACTTGACACAAACATATCTTTGTTTGTGGGAACTCTCCATTCATTTCTATGGGGAAAACTCTAAACACGACGACCTTAACTCCTACAGTACCTAGCCCTGACCTTAACCATAAGTAACCAAACAAAATACAAGTCTTTTGGCAGTTTTAGTTCTTTTTTATTGCATTCACAGATGTCAAAATAACATGTGTTGGAATTTGGTCCCCACAATGTAATTTGTAATATAAACCTAATCTACACACACACAGAGTGGAAGTGGGATTCAAACCCCAGCCCCCAAATGGTGAATTGCAGTTTCCCTATTATCCCTGGCTGTGAATGGTGTGTGTGCCCTGCCATGGGTTGGCACCCCACACTGGGTTATTCCCTACCGTGTGCCTGTTGTCTCCATGATAGTCTCCCCACGACCCTGTATTGGACAAGCGGTCTAGAAAATAAATTAATGCGTGTGTGTGGGGGGGGAGTATGTATAAAAAAAATCAAATGCCCCCATGATGCAATAAAAACCTGTTATTTCGATGCTGATGTTTTTTCAATTCCCACAAGCATAAACCCAATTTCATAAAAATCTGTGACTGCAATGAAAACACTAAAAATGCCAAAAGACTTGAATTTTGTTTGGTTACTTATGGTTAAGGTTAGGGCTGGGTAGGGGTTGTGGTTGTCATTGTTGGGATTAGAGTTTTTGCTGTAGAAATGAATGGATGGTCCCCACAAAGATATGAATACAATGGTGTGTATGTCTCTGAACCCCACTAAAGCACACTGTCTCCTCTGCCTTTCAGCTGGATGCAGCAAAGACACTAGTCCGTGACGCCATACATGCAGGAATCATGAGCGACCTGGGCTCAGGAAACAACATAGACATGTGTGTCATAACCAGACAAGGAGTTGATTACATCAGGCCCTATGAAGAGTCTGTGTACAAAGACAAAAGGTGAGATTTTGCATATTAAGTTATTCTTATGAAGTTAATCTTATTAAATGCCTTGTCAGTGTGTATGTGTGTGTAAATATATATATATATATATATATCCCCCCCCCATTATACACATAATTAGAGAAAAAAAAATAGTATGGCCTAATATTCAGCTTTTAAATAAAAAATTAGAAAAAAAATCTATAATTTGACGATAATGTCTTTTCTCCCCCAGGCAGAGGAGGTATAAGTACAAGGCAGGGACCACTGCAGTGCTGGGGGAGAGGGTGATTCCTCTGGAGCTGGTCCACGAGACGGTGCAGAAAATGGACATCGCCTGAGTGGAGCTTCATTATTGTGGAAATCTGCTAGTTTTGTAATTATGATGTAGAGAAACGTAGGGCTCGAATGATTCTTCAAAGAGTAATTTTTAATAAACAATTGCATATTTACACACAAAAAGCATTGTTATTGTACTGTCATAGCTTAGAACATGAGGATCTTTCCAGCAATATTTGACTGGTTGTTATGTTTTCTTTGGATCTCATTATACCATTTATTTTCTTTAGATCATGTTTGCATGAGGTTTGCTGATCAGAAAAGATTACAATAATCCACTGGAAAAAAGAAAATGAAAAAAGTAAATTCATAGGCGTTCCATCATTGATTACTTGCAATGATATTGTGGTAATAAACCCTGTTAATCTTTACTGTATTAATATCCAATTCTAGTGTATGACATTCGTTTTCAGTTAAATGTTAAGTCAAAACAAGCATCCATGTATCAATCAGATCACTTATCCTGGTCAGGTTCTGAGGAAATCGAACAACTCAAGAAAAAAAATGCAATTGACTATAAATATATTGTTCTAGGCACACAATTCATAGATATATGAGAGATGATAATTAAGTAGGAGATGTATGGCTTTCAGCTGGGACGCTGTGACCAGATGGTTGCTGGCTGGGTGATTTCACTGTTGAACTCAGCTATCAGATCCTCATTTGTACGTCACTTTGGATAAAAATGCTAAATAAGTAAATGCCAGTATCGGGGGCAAGTGATGCGAAAATGTGGTCTAATTCTGTAATCATGAATAGAAACATTAACTGTCGCTGCAGACCATATTGCATCGGTGGTGCTTGATTTACAAAAAAAAAAACCTATTTGATAAACCTGTATCGGCGAAGTCTTCCCGCCACTAAATGACGCGCAGTACGTAATGTTCCTATTGGATAAGCCGCGGTAACCTGCAGTTTGTCAATCTCAATGTTAGTTTAAATGTAGATCACGCTCATTTTTATACTCGAAATAAACTAGCTAAAACGACAAAGGTTACATAGCACCTTTTTCTATAATATCATTTAATATAAAGAAAAAGGAGATTTGTACCATAAGCACGATTGCAAGTAAACTAGAATTAAAATCGAAAGTAAACTCCAAAATATATATAACTACATTCTTTCAGTTTCGAAAGTATCAGGAAACGCATCACTTCCCTATATATGCTGCACCGAAGTCGGTCATATTTTTGACAATTTTATATAATTACTCGTTACAGATTATAGATCATCATCAACTCCAGCAGAATGGCCCTATCTGACGTTACTGCTTATATAGTTCAGCCGGAGATCCATGGACAGCTGTTTGGGACGGGACCGAAGCCGCCCGTGGACCGGACCAGCCATTTCGCGTTCGGGACCAAAACTCAAGAATTTGCCGTGCCCGTGGGAACTGATGTGAGTACAAACACTTCTGTTTGATATATTAATTATAGACACAGGATTTTGTGTTGGATGAGTCGCCTTTTTCCCGAGCAGAAATGATTGAGTCGATTTGTTTGTAACTGCGTGATGAAATATTCTGTATAATAACGTTGCGTTTATCTTCGTAGCCTTCAGCGTTTCTGAAATCCTGCAGCAGTGAAGGGGGGGTATCCATTGATATGAGTCATGGTACCACTACGCTGGCTTTTAAGTTCCGCCATGGTGTGATCGTTGCTGTGGACTCCAGGGCTTCGGCTGGAAGCTATATTGGTAAAGAAGTCTTTCATAAGAACATTGCCGATTATTTAGTTATAATAATTTTAAAAATTATTTGAAATATAAATATATACACACATATTACATAAAATGCAACTAATCTAGTACTAAGGCAGGTTTCCATCCCTGAACCACGTGATTGTTTGGTTTGTAGCTTCGAAGGAGGCCAACAAGGTGATCGAGATCAACCCTTACCTGCTGGGCACCATGTCAGGCAGTGCTGCTGACTGCCAGTACTGGGAAAGACTGCTGGCCAAAGAGTGCAGGTCTGAGCGAGTCTCTCTGTGGAACAGAATCTGTGTAACTGGATCTGTGAAACCATATCACTTTTTCCACTATATATGTCTGAGGACCTGTATCCATTCCTCTGCTTTTCAGTGTTTGTGTTTTTCTTCTTGTCTGTACCTGTGGTTCTTATAAAGTCTCTCATACCAATTTGTCTGATGTCTTTTTGTACGCCATTGTTGTTGACAGTGAGCATTCATGTCACTTTGCTTCTTAGACTTTACAAGCTGCGGAACAAAGAGCGAATCTCGGTCTCTGCTGCCTCCAAGCTGCTGTCCAACATGATGTGTGCATACAAGGGCATGGGCCTCTCCGTGGGCAGCATGATCTGCGGCTGGGACAAGAAGGTACTTCTGTCGCACCCTTCAAATCTTCTGCATTATATCATAAACTCACCAGTGATCTTTCACGTCCAGCCCATACTTACAGTCTCAGTGCATGTCTGCAGGGTCCTGGCTTGTACTACGTCGATGACAACGGCACACGGATGTCTGGCCGCATGTTCTCCACGGGCTGTGGGAACAGTTACGCTTATGGGGTGGTGGACAGTGGCTACAGGGAAGATCTGACCGTGGAGGAGGCGTATGAGCTGGGCCGCCGCGGAATCGCCCATGCTACACACAGGGACGCCTACTCTGGAGGAGTGGTCAATTGTGAGTGAACTTGCCTAACACCCATTCCTTATTTTTATCCTAGTAACCAATCAGTATCTTGAGTCAATCAGAGTGTTAAAGTTCCAATAAACTGGAGATCTCTGCTAGACAGTACTAGTTCAGAATTTACTTTATTGGGCAGGTACAAGTGCATCTATTGGTGCCGACATTCACAGACAACGTAGAACATCTATCCATCCATCCATCCATCCTTTTTGTACAACCACTTGTCGTATTCTGGGTTGTGGGGGGTCTGGAGCCTATCCCAGAGTCTATGGGCACAAGGCAAGGAACAACCCAGGATGGGGCACCAACCCATCACAGGGCACACTCACACACCATTCACTCACACACACACACACACACACACACACGCACCTATGGGCAAATTGGTAACTCAAATTAGCCTCAGCATGTTTTTGCACTGTGGGAGCAAACCGGAGTACACGAAGGAAACAGAGACACAGAGAGAACATGCAAACTCCACACACATGGAACCTGGGCAGCGATAGAAATATAATATGTAATATAATAAATAATATAGTTCATATTTATATTCCAAAATTCGACATCTAGCATAATTAATTAATCATCATTGAATATGTACTTGCAGTAAGAATATATATAAAAAAATCACTCTGATGTTATGGCCCCGTGCTAACTGAGCTAAGTATGCTGTGAAAATGCAAATGTCAGATTTTTAGCAGTCTGTCTCTGCTGAAAGATTCAGCCTTGTCACATGATCCGCAGTGACTTCAGCCAAATGTATGGGTGTGTTTGTTGTCCACGCAGTGTGTCACATGACCTGCAGTGACTTCAGCCAAATGTATGGATGTGTTTGTCTGTCCACGCAGTGTGTCACATGACCCACAGTGACTTCAGCTAAATGTATGGATGTGTTTGTCTGTCCACGCAGTGTGTCACATGACCCACAGTGACTTCAGCTAAATGTATGGATGTGTTTGTCTGTCCACGCAGTGTGTCACATGACCCACAGTGACTTCAGCTAAATGTATGGATGTGTTTGTCTGTCCACGCAGTGTATCACATGCAGGAGGACGGCTGGATCAAGGTGTGTAAAGAAGACGTGTCAGAGCTGATTCACAAGTACAGGAAAGGCATGTTTTAATCCCCTGGTCTGTCTCAGCACTTCCATACGATACACTATTGTTACTTTGCAAGTCTGTCTGATGTGATTCCAAATAAAGACTTGATTTCAAACAGTACATGTTTATTACTCATGTGCATAATGGAATAATGTCACAATACAGTGGTTAAGGTTGCAGTGGAAAAAAGATTATCAGGAGCAAATTTAGCTAAATTCTGTGAGCTATAGTCCTACTATAAACAGAGTAAAAATGGAAAGATGACAGCTATAACAGATGGGTCATTAAAAGGCACAAATTCTCCCTTTCTGTTAAAAGGATAACATAGTAGTAGTGTTATTTTTCAAGTCACATGGCCAGACCCTCAGATAAAGGTGCAGCAAGTAGAATCTGGAACTGGAATGATAAACTTTAAATGGAGGTTAAATGAATCCAGCTTACAGCAGAGAGATATGCAGTGCTTGAAGTGGGCCAGCACTCTGCGGTGCGTAGTACCAGTACCTCTTTGATTTGTCCTTTAAAGTACTGGGATTGTTTCTTGTGTACTGGTACCTCTCATAATCTACCATTAGGGAATAATAAGGTGAGTACTGACACCTGTTTTTTCATACTTCAAGCACTGTGGATACCCTGGACTGGATGACGGTCTATTGCAAGGCACACATGCTCACTATCCACAGCAAACCCCCCCTACAAAAATTCCCTGCACACAAAGACACAGCCAGGAGCAGGGATTCAGTGCAACAGTCCAAAAAAAGTTCATTTAGGAAAGATCATTTATGAGTAAAATCACATCAAAATTATATACAGAGATGACAATGTGGGCATGTGTGACAAAGATAATTTTATTTACAGTTATAGTTCATTTTTTTGTTTTAATGAGTTGTTATTTTCACCAGAATGGTAGCATAGTATAAACCAGGGGGTGTCAGCCTTTCCAATTGATTGAGCCCGCCAATGTGCCGTGGCCCAGTGCTTGAGAATCCCTGTTTTAGACGAATGGATGGAGATCAAATTTTCTAACGGGTTATTTAATTTAATATTTTTCTGTTTTCACTGGAGCTCCAAGCAAAGTGTATGAAACCGACATGCTCAAAATATTCAAAATAAATGTTGCTGCCAGACACTTCTTGCTGTTTCTTCTAAAATTAAGGAATGCAATTATTATCAAAAATGCAAAATTAACAATTTTTTGAGAAAACATTTGACATCTGTCATGAAGCAGAACTTGGAGACCCAGCGGACCCAGTGCAGACAGTGCAATTTATTTACACACGGGGAGCCAGACTTACAAACACTAGGCAGGATTGTGGTCGGGGTCACAGAGCTAGAGGGTCGGCAACCGGGGGGTTAGGCCAACACACAAGGCACGGGACAGGAGGCAGGCAAACCGGGAGAAGCCGGGGAATCAGGACAGAACAGGATGGTAGGCAGGATGGGTCAAGGCTAAACAAGAGACAGATGCAAGCACACTTAGTATTCGGCATCACACACTAACAATACCTCGCACTGTATACGAGGCAGCCCGGGGTTTTAAAGGTAGACAATAGGTGTTGGTACTCAGCGTGCTGGTGGCGGGAGAGGGGTATGCGTGACAGCATTAGTGCTTAATGTTATTGACTTGCACTGTACATGCAGCCATTACTGCTAGTTACATTTGAAATGTCATTGGTTGGGTGCATTAATATTTAATCATCTGATACTGGGCAGATTATGTCTGTACTAGTTTCTGAGGGGAATTCCTCTTTTGTTAGCTGAAAGTGGCAGCAGTTGTGACTTTTGCTTTTCTTTAAATGACAGTGAAAAAGTTCTGAAAGGTCACTCAAAAAAACAGTTTATTTACCAGTATGCTGTTAGTCAGAAATATTAATGACATCTGTTATTTAAAATATTTATTGTGATTTCGGAAGTATAAAAAATGTCTTTAGTGGCATGATTGTCCTTGAAATGTAAAAAATAAGTTAAAAAAATGGCTGTATAGTTATAGTCTAAAATATAAGTGTACAGTATTAAAAAAATTTTTTCAATGAATATGTACAATAGCTTTTAATTTGGGGCTTCATAAATAAAGATATTTGAAATTTCCCATTTTCTATGAAATTTTCATTAAAAAAAAAAAAAAAAAAACATTCATTTTTGCCCTAGTCTGGAACAGCTAATAAATGAATTTTCCCAGTGATTTGTTGTGAGGATTCAAAATGCAGGCCCAAAATCAGAGAATGATGCTCAGGGCAGTGAATAGAAAGGCTGATATTCTGAGGATTTGAGGTAGTAATGTAAAATGACTGACTTTAGTACTTAATTACTATGAACAGTAAAAGGTTAGTAAAGAAGTGAATACTCATTGAAGATAATATTCATATGTGACACTGGAAACCGGTTTTTCCTTAACTTAAAACAGCTGCACATAAATTAAGAAAATATGTTAAATATATTCAGACATTACACAGATTTATGTCTGCTGTGTGGCTTTTTCTTTCACTCTATTCAACTTTGCCCATCTGCATAATTTAATATTTTGTAGTCATCTGTCACCAAGGAGATTAAAGCTGAACAGGTTCCTGCTGTGGGAATTCCCCTGTGGTCACATGTCCTCTGTCTGTTAAATGGTGTCATGCAACACAAGCTGAAACTGATGGACATTTAGGACAAAATTAGTAGCTTTGAATTTTCAGTAGCCTATATACATTTTTTATTTTCTGTTAATTAATCACTCTATAACACTACACCTGCATGTTAAAATAGAAAATATAAAGTTATTTTATTCAACAAAGACAATGAATAAATGAAAAGATAATAAATCTTTGTAGTACAACTGAATGACTTTTAGTAAATTCCAGCTTGCCTGTATTTTTCATTCATCTATCCATCCATCTCTGCCTGTTAGTGCAGGGTCACAGGGATCCTGCTGAATATCCCAGCATGCAAAGGGGCACAGGACACCCTGGATGGGATGCTGGTTCATTGCAGAGTCACACTCACACACTAAGGGTGGTTTAGATGAACCAATTTATCTAATCACATAAATAAATAAAAACATTTAACAAAATTCATACCTGGACTGAGACAGATAGTAAACTGATTAAAAGAAATTAAGGTTAAGTATTAAATTATTTCCTGCTCATCTAGCTACACATTTCAACAAGATTCAAAAACACATTTGTTTCCCGTAGTACTGTGGCCCCTAGAGACAAAACACAAACAAAAGAAAAAGCAGAAACAAAATGAAAATGCGCTGCAAATTAAAAAACACACACAAAAGAAAAAGCAGAAACAAAATGAAAATGCGCTGCAATTCAAAAAAGACAAACAAAAGAAAAAGCAGAAACAATGAAAATGCGCTGCAATTNCACATCCGGGAGTTGGGGATTCAGTGCAACAGTCCACATAAAGTCCATTTAGGAGAGAATCAATAAATTTATGAGTAAATTCAGATTGTAATGATTAACAAAGTGTATGAAACTGCTCAAAATATTTAAAATAAATGTTACTGCCAGACACTTGTTTATTCTAAAATTAAGGAATACAGAATTATCAAAAATGCAAAATTAGCAATCATTTTTTGAGAAAACATCTGACATTGGTGATGAAACAGCTCAGAGGAGACCCAGGGGACCCAGTGCGGACAGCATGGTTTATTTTCACACGGGCAACCAGACTTACAAACACTAGGCAGGATCATGGTCGGGGTCACGGGGCTAGAGGGTCGGCAGCCGGGGGGGGTTTGTCCAACACACAGGGCACAGGACAGGAGGCAGGCACACTGGGAGAAGCCAGGGAATCAGGACAGTACAGGAGGCAGGACAGGTTAGGGCTAAACAGGAAACAAAGGCAAGTATGCTTAGTATTCGGCATCACACAACAACAGTACCGCATATTGTGTATGAGGCAGCCCGGGGCTTCAAAGGTTGACAACAGGTGTTGGTATTCAGTGTGCTGACGGGGGGATGTGTGTGACAACATTAGTGCTTAATGTTGTAGACTTACATTGTACATGCAGCCATTACTGCTAGTTACATTTGAAATGTCGCTGGTTGGCGGAATTAATATTTATGACATCTGATACCTTGCAGATTATGTCTGTACTGGTTTCTGGGGGGAATTCCTCTTTTGTTAGCTCAAAGTTGCAGTAGTTGTGATAAAGGTCTGAAAGGCCTCTCAAAAAAAGAGGACATCTATTTATTTAACAGTACGCTGTTACAGTAATAAAACTTTACACTGACAGTGATCTCATATCAGTTTCTGAAAGATCAATATTGTCAGAAAAATTTACAACGTCTGTTATTTTAAATATTTATTGTGATTCCGGAAGTATTTAATAAAAATATCTTTAGTGAATGAAGAAGTAAATTCCTGCTTGTCTCTATTTTTCATTCATTCATCCATCCATCCTTATCTGCCTGTTATTAGTGTCACAGGGATCCTGGTGAATATCCCAGGATGCACCAGGGAACAGGACACCCTGGGCAGGAAGCTGGTTCATTGCAGTCAGACTCACACACTGAGGCCAATTCACTGAATCACCTGGTTCGAAACCCAGGACAGCAGAAAAAGCCCCAGATCTCCGACTTTGGATTCATTCAGGGCCTCAGCCCCAAAGGCCCCCCCAGTGACACATCTGCCTCACATAAACTGGGCTGGGGTGGGAAGGAAACTCCCAATGCCAACATGAGGCTGTAGTGGTGCCCAGTGTATTAAATGTCATAAAAGAAAAAAACTTAAACTTTTGGAAAACAACAGGAATTTAACTGCAAAATATTATCCACAGGAAAAGATCGGAAATTTACTCTCATTTGATTTAACTCGGTGAGTTCAAAAGTGATTTGTGCATATTATTTCAACAAATGTATATTTAACTTTTCTTGTGTTATTAAAACATTTTAAGTCTGTAAAAAAATAAATAGAACTTATTCCCAGGAGACAGAAAGCAAACTGAAAGGAATCCAGGATGAAACATTATTTCCTGCTGCTCCAGCTACACATCGTGTCAAAAAACCAGAAACACACATTTGTTCCAATTTACCCCCTTTATTTTATTAGCCCATTTCAAACAAAATATTTACAATCAAAATGAAAATTTATGTAATACGGATTTCTGTTGGTCTCTTTCATAATTTATTTTACTGATATTAAGAAGTTTCATTTATGAACATGGTAATCATATATTCAATGATTTTCCACTTGTGTATATAATAGAAACAGAATTTCATAATTACTTAAACAGTTTTGCATGTAAAATCACCAAAGCATAAGGTTTAGGGTTAAATTACCGACAGCAATCAGACTAACTGAAAAAGTTCATAATATTACATTAATTCTCAAAGAAACAAATTCACAACTTAAACAGAAAAATATATCAAATACAAAAAGAACAATGTATGAAAACCCTGTGAGAAATGCACTAGATAATTATTTTGAAGAATTTCAAATATATTTTTTAAACTCGGCAAGTCTCCAATAATCCTCACCTGAGCGTAACTATGTAACCATTAATTATAACAGGTCAATTTGAAGTTGATTTCCTGTAATAATAAATTACATGATGTTCTGTTACACTGTTTCATACGTTTATCAGCCACATTCATCGTTTCATTGCCCATCTTTCTGGTTGCTGTTGCTTCATCCTTGATGCTCGTTACTGTAAGTCAGTGATCAGTGCATCTCACACACAGGGTCACACAGGCGTCCTCATCAGCAGGCTGTGCGGCATTTAAAGAGACGGATCATGATAAAAACAGACTGCAGTGCTGCACAGTGACAGAGCAGAGCAGCTTTAAGACAGCTGAGCTTTAACTGCTAATACAGTAAAGTTACAGAGAGAGAAATAAACCTGCATTAATGATCCTTCCTGACTGTCAGTCAGTGATTTATCTTCTGATTAAATTTATTCTGCTCCTCATATTTAAAATCTCATAACTGTTAACTGTAAAGTTGCTAAAAGCAAGTAGACAATATATTGTATTATGTGTGTGTGTGTGTGTGGGGGGGGGGTATCAGGTCTGCACATTCATCTCATCTTGTCTCTGTTGTCTTCTGGCAGAGAAGGAGAAGAACCTGAAACCAAAACCAGACAGAAATGAGAAGAAAACATCTTGAATGCAGCTGGAGGACAAATCAGACAAAGTGAATAAACAAACATACAGATTCTCTGTGTGAACTTATGCTATATAAAGTTTGAACAAAATAAAACCTCTGCAGGTAAGACAATTTTATTTAACAATTTCAGATAATGCCATCAATATTAAGACAGACACACTGATGTACCACAAAGTGCAGATGTTCTGTAAACATAACATAGGTCTGGATTTAATGAACAAACTGAAAATCCCACATTTTAAATACGACATCACACAAACATCCAATTCTATACACTACTGAAGTTTCAAAAACATTCTATTGAATGGATTCACAGCTAAAGTCCAGACTGTATCTACAAGCATAAGCTCTGCTGTCATTGCAGCTTCAAACACAAATGACAAGTGACACTATCAGCTGTGTCCATGTGAGGGAGCCACAGGCCACATTCTGTGCATTGAAACACTGAGATCCACACAGAGCCGCCTGTGTTTTTTTAACAGAATGAGCTGCAGAAGAATTTATTCAAAAATATTTCTTTATTTTTCTAAACTGCAAAATGTGTCCTCTTCTTAACAGTGCAACTGAAATTGAATAAAATACTGTTAAAAAAAAAAATCCCAAATCAAAATAAAAAAAAAATTCTTCAAATAAATACACGGTAACGCTTTACATTAACTGCACCTTCATAATGCTTTTATATTGCATTCATAAAACATTCAGTACACCTTCATAATGTATTCATTTAAATATTCAGAAATCATTCATAAACATCATGCATGTATACCTTTACATCCTAACATCCCTTAACAGCTGTAATATACATTAATAACAAACTTTATATAATAATAACAAACATTATAATTGTATAATCATGTAATGTTTGTTATTAATGTATATTAAAGCTGTTAAGGGATGTTAGGATGTTAAAGTGTACTTGCATGCTGCTTATGAATGTTGTATGAATGCATTATGAAGGTGCACTTAATATAAAGCGTTACCAAATAGACTAAGGTTTGCATGTGCAATTTTTTAGCGTGGTTTGCCCATTTAATAATCTTCGCTCTGGTGGTGGTGAATTGAGCTCACTGTGGTGCTGGTGGACATGCTGAAGCATGTTCGTTGTGCTATTAGTGTGTGTTATCAGTCTTTTACAATGTTTGCACATTGCCTGTGCTTTTCTTGCCATTTTCGTTTGTGATTACCGGAAAGCTAAAATGCTGCCACACTGCCGATTTGAGATCAGGGGGTGTGTCCTCAATTTCAAATTCGCTCGCCATCTCGCGTTCAGTCAAAACCAAAAACCAATGTAGACGTCGACGTGAATATGCAGTGACATCTGACGCCGAACTTACGTTGTGAAATCAAATGTAATATTACACCAGTTTTTCTGTTAAGTAAAGTACCATGAACTACTCCTAAAGTAGCAATTCATTTTCCACATCAGCTGGTTTAAATCGTCATACATTTACATCAATTTTTAACCGATTCGCGATTCATCATTACATGCCTATATGACAAGGAATAATACAAAATTTAAAATGAATGTGCTCTTCACAGTGTAAAAAACCTCTCAGAAGGTAAGTCCCATGGTAACATGACTTACTGTGACATCATGGAGGGTGAACTCATGCTTTTGGTTGCTGTTGGCTGTTCTCAGAATCAGTGTCAGATGCTACAGTGAAAAACCCAAAGATAAAGTCACAGGGTTTGATTATATTCTATACATACATACATACATAAATACTAAAGGACTGCAGGCAATTTATTCAAGGTGATATTTCCACTTAAATCAATTTTAAATTTAAATGCTCTTTATACATGTATATAGTTGTAGCAACAGCAATACAAGGGTATCAATACTCACTGCTGGCTTTCCCATAGCCTGAAACACAGAGGGACACAGAGTCAGACACAGACACTCAGACTCTGTGCATCATTCGGGTGTCAGAGGCCCCAGTATAATGACTGTGTGCAGTTACATGCTTTGAAACGTCACTGGTGTTTCAGTTGGACGCCATTGTTCTCTGTGTCTGTCGGCTTTTCTGTTACCTGTCCTGCTCCTCCTCCACAACACGACCCCAATGACAACAGCAACGAGAGCCAGAGCAGCAGCCACACAGCCGATGATGATGCCCCAGGAAATGCCTCCTAAAATAAGGTTAAAGCACCATGTTCACCCCTGACAGTGACGCCCATTAGCTGCTCTCTCTCATTACTGTGTCGCTGCTTCTCTTACCCTGATTGGTCCTTATGTTCTTCTCCTCCAGCAGCACAGCAATGTCATCCTGGAGGCTCTTGTGCTGCACGACACAGCTGTAGCTGTTCATCTTCCAGTCCTCAGGCTTCACCGTGAGTTTCGATGTGATCTGGAATGTTCCGTCCCCATTTAGCAGGGTCTCCCCCACCTCCACATCGCTGTGCATGTCCACTCCATCTTTCCTCCAGGTCACCATGATCCTTTTGGGGAAGAAGCCGGTTGTGTGGCAGGTGACAGGAGAGGAGGGGTCCTTCTGCAGCAGAGACACCTCAGGGCGGACTTGGGGAGAAAGACAAAAACATCCATAAATAAAACGCTACACTTCATCACCAGCAATCTCTCCTGTAAATACATAATGTGATTAATATTCTACACATTGTAGCTATAAGCCTGCATCAGGACAGGGACAGCTGTGCCCCCCCCCATCTAATATTGCTGATTATGAGAATCAGTCCAGGTGGGACGGCTGAAGACTAAGGTTTTAAAAAATAAAAATTGTGTATGGGGTCGGGCATCTTGGTCTGTGTGGTTATATAATGACTGGGAATGAGTAAAAGCTGAACAGAATGCCTGCAGTCGTGCCCTGACTTCACCCCCCCCCCCCAATACGCTGTAATGTGGGCTGGGTGCTGCTGTGGATGGATTCAAACTTCACTTTCAGTGGGGGTGTTGGCATGAACTGTGAGCATGCAGCCCAGATTTCAGGTGTAGCAGACTTTTGGCACGTTAATGTGTGTCGATTGAGCATGTGGAAGGAAATGCATGATTACTAGGTGTTTCCAGTAGGTGGAATCTGTTGGTCTGCTGGAATATCACTGCTGTATGCATGTGCTGATCATGACCATCTGCACACATGAACAAATGTAGCATGTATGCAAAAGTGCGTGAACTGAAAAACACACCAAAAGTAAAGGATGAACTTGGCTTTAGGTCCTGTTGTGCCCTCCAGTGTGTTACAGCCTGACACTCAGTGTATCTGCTAAGCAGGACAGTCCCAGACCTGCTGTACTGTACCTGTCCTCTCCAGTGTGCTCTTCCCGTAGCTCACATACTTCTTCAGCCAGTCAATGCACTCCTGGTTGTAGTAGCTTTTTAAGTAATCTAACTGAGCTCTGTCACTGTCCCACTTCTGTTTAGTGGGAGCCGCCTGCATCACTGGAGCCACGTAAGTCATGGTCTTGAAGTCCAATGCAATGAAGTCACTCCCATCATAGCCAAACTGACGAAAAGCACCTGTGGCCCCAGTTTGATCATCCCACTCACAGCCGTACATCTGCTGATATGTATGAATACCTGAACAGAAAGAGGAGAGAATTAGCAGGCAGGTTTGATACGGTTTCATCCTCTGGGCGTCATTTTCACAGCATTTCAAACAGGCCTGTCAGCAGCTCCTCACTCTCAGCATCCTGCATGTACACTGCAGCTTTCAGGCTTTTTTAACTGTGTGACATTAAATTCACACACAAGCTGGAAAAGAGTAAAAATCAGACACCCCAGCTCTCCCGGAAGCTACCGGAGTCTCCCGCAGACTGACAGCAGCACATGTTACCGCCGGCATCTCGACCGCCCCTGGCAGGCGGCACTCAGCTGGGTGGGATCTGACCTAATATCAATTCTGATAGTTCCAAATAAAATTTGCCGGGAGTGAGTGGAGGGTAGGGTGTTTTCTAATGAAAATACCGCGGTATACAGTATTACCGTAATACTATGGAATATAAAGCTATGTAACAGACAGAGAGAATGTAACCTTAGAATACAACATTAAGTCAGTGTGGCCTGTAACAGAACATGAGCTCTTTAGAAATTCCCAGCATGTTTCTGCATCACATGGTATTAATCAGATAAGCGTGTTTTTGGGCCTTGGACCGGCTCACACTGCAAGGACAGCTGCAGCACAAACATGCATCTTCAGGAGCCAAGGAAGGAAGTTATGGGACATGGGAGCACAAACCAGCGGGGCCTGGCTGGCGATCAGGAAAGGAAGAGACGTGCTGGAGGACCTTCCCTGTGACGACGTGTCTGATAAGGTGTAAGAACATGTATAAAAGATGAGCATGAACTGGCGTTAGACACACTGCTGCAGGGCGTCCAGCCTCGGCTGTAACTTTGATGTTGCAATAAAGACTGAATCTGAGGATCTACATGAGGGGCTCCTGACTCCTGATTGGCTGAAAAAAATGAAGTACATGACAATACTGCCCAAGCCTGGCCAGCCCCCGTCATCATAGACACAGTCGATAACAACAGATTCAGGTATCTCCCAATAATATTTGCCTGGGGTGAGTGTGGGGTTTTTTTTCTATACTGTTCTATACACAGTATTACCGTAATGCCACCCAAGCATAGCCAGCAATCCCCCCCTCCCCCCTGGTTGTCCCTCATCTACCACCCTGAAATCAATATAAGGTGGGATGTTTGAAAAACTGACATCACAGCGCGTACACACACACACACACACACACACTAAGCTGAGAATTCAAGTGTGCTTAAGTGACTGTGTAGAAACACTTTGTTTTGTGTTAATACAACTTATTTAAAAAAAAAAAATAAAATTATTTGACAAATAAAAAAAGATAAATACACAGTCTCAGATTCCCCCGCTGAAGCGATTTAGACCCACACAGGTTACCTAATGAGTTACTGGACGGTGTGACTGTGGATCAGTGTGTGAATCAGACACAGGATTCCATGCTGTGTGTCTGTGCAGAAACACATGAAGCGTCAGTGATGCCGCCCAGACGCTCTGATGTCCTGAGAGGAGCCACATCAGCATTCAGTCTGAGTCAGACGGAGCCCTTTGTCTCTGTGACCTACAATCAGCCCCCTGACTGAATACGACACATTTTATTCACAGAAAGCGACGCTGCACATCCAGTCGCTCCTATGTACACACAGTGTTCTCTGGCCTGGACTCTCCCCCTGTGCAAACCCCCCCATGTGAAATACGGTGTGTAGATGCACAGTAATAATCAGCCCCCTGCAGGTGACACACACAGAGCAGGCAGACATTTCCCAGCCCATCTCATTGGTCCACAGGTGAGTCCCTGTAACCGAGGGCGACGGCAAACGCAGGAAATCAGGTCCAGCCTCTTGTGCTTCTGGCAGACAGAGGATGTGGAGGGTGGGGTGATGAAGAGCAGCCACACACTCACACGCCGCGCTGCACATCACACCTCCATGTGTGACTGTATATCCTGACCCTCACACACTGACCCACTACAGCGCAGAGGTCTGTACCATGTGGGTCGAGCACTAAGGGGGATCTGAGGCTGCTGCTGCCTCTGTAAGGATGTCAGGAGAGCAGCAGACACCCCTGGTGTTTGGTTCATCCCGCAAAGCCAGTTCTGATGTCCAAACTGACCCACTAGGCGGCTCACAATCCACGCCTGAGCTCCAAGCCAGCGAGACGGGCGTCTTACACATTTAAAGTGTGAGAAGAGGCTGAGATCGTTTTGACCCTAAGATCTCTCATCATTCGCTTTACCAGATAAAAGCGGGAGACTCTGAGCACCAGACATCCAAAGGGAAACTCTGCAGTGAATCAGCTGCTAGAAGGTTCCGTTAGTCTTTCACTCGGTATCGTCTGAGCGACGGGACGTACGAGTCGACGCCGTGCATCATTCCGGCAAACGCTGGGACTGCTGGGAATCGGCGCT